GTCGAGGGTGTTGCGCAGTTTCTTCCATATAAAAATATATTTTGTTCATGCCTTATATGGAAACAAATGCGCAACACCCTCGACAAAAAAAAAAATTCTAAAAACTCAGGCGTGTAGTCCCTACGCGCGGAAGAAGTGAAACTTAATAGAGGAAATTCCAGAAAGAAAGAAATGTGCGATATACATACACATGTACTTATTTTCTAATATACATATATAATTTCATCTTCATCATCATCTTCATCTTCATCTTTTCAATAATTTGAGTTTAACTTTTTAAACAGGTGGCCACCCTCTTCAGGCACCTCTAAAATATTTTAATTGTGTTTCCGTAAGCTCTTTCTGTTCTGTATAGTATTTTAAGCGTAAGACTTTTGTATATTTAACTAAATTTTACTTTTGAAACAGGTGGCTACCCTCCTACATTTAGCTAGAAAATACAACTTATTCAAACCCATTTCTTTTGATACCCATATTGGGATAATTCGTTTAACTTAATAAATAATTTGAATTTGATTTTCGTATATATGGCAAGCCTTTAAAATACCAAAACCATACTGCACATCTGCAGATCAAGCCCTTTCATGTGACACCTTATTTTTGAAAATCATACGAACGATACAGATTTTTTGACTTGATGTTAAATATTTTACGCAACCCTCTGTGGCAGAGAAATTTTGAATTCGATTTTCTAACATGTGGCAACTCCTTTCATGGAACTAAAGCTATGTTGTAAACCAAAAGGACAAGGCCTTTCATGTGACACCTCATTTTTAAAAATCGAACGAACGATACAGATTTTATGACGTGGTGTTAAATATTTAACGCAACCCTCTGCGGCAGAGAAATTTTGAATTCGATTTTCTAACATGTGGCAACTCCTTTCATGGAACTAAAGCTATGGTGTACACCCGAAGGACAAGGCCTTTCATGTGACACCTCATTTTTAAAAATCGAACGAACGATACAGAGTTTATGGCTTGGTGTTAAATATTTAACGCAACCATCTCCGAACTCGATTAAGAAGTTTCACTTCAAAAATCAGCGGTATTTTTTAGCTAAATGAAACTTGCACCTTATTGTACCGATAATTTTTCTAAAAATTCTGAATAAAAAGTTTCAAATTTTGTTTTTGGTTATAGAATGAGCTATGTTTTAAATGAAAATTAACGAAAAAGATTTGTGATGGAAAACATTTTGAATATTATGAAAAAACTAATTTACGAATACTTCTGAGAGTGACTGTATGTACATAGTCTATATTGCCAGGAACTCTGCTGACATAAATTATTGAAGTCTTCGTTTTCGCCTTTTACCTTTTTTCGGCTTTTGCATTACAGCACAAACGTAAATGAACAAATGTAGCGTACATACTTTGGCTGTTAATGTTATGCTAAGTGGCTTAAGATTGTTTAAGGCCCCTCTTATCTCGAAAACAAATTTAAAGCTTCTGCCTTGTGCCCTAATTAATGTTAAGAAAATGTTAAATTTGTCCAATCTCGTAAGATTAGTTTTATAACATAGCTATAATTTTTATTGCAGGTTGTGCCTGATGGCATTGCACACAAATGTGGGCAACTGCGAATGGGAGACCGGATTTTGAAGGTGAATGACGTTGATATCTCGCGCGCAACCCACCAAGAGGCTGTAATGGAGCTCCTGAAGCCTGGTGACGATATAAAGCTAACAGTTCAACACGAGCCATTACCCCCGGGATTTCAGGTAAGCTTTTTGACGTTGACAAATTGTTTTTTAATGTATTATTTTTTTAAGACATCTTAGTCTAAATTTCATTCTGGTTGTAATTAAAATTCAAATAATAACATAAAAAGGCATTTTTAATATAATATCTCATTCCATAGAAAATATAGTTATTTTTTAGCATTCACGCTGACCTGCAATTATGTACATATGTAGCTTACAGCTTGCTCTTTCAACACTTTTGCAAAATATTTACACTTTTTTTCTTTTTTAATTGCAATATCCAAGTTTGAGGTAGAAATTTTACGTACGGAGGTAAGCCAAGTCGCTTTTTGTTTGGATTATTCAATAAATGTTTCCCTAAATGTGCCTAAAACTTTATTAATTTTTGTTGAGTAAGAACATGAGCCCACATTATATTGTTAATATTAAGGGTTTAACCGAAATGGAAATGTTGATTTAGTATACAGATCTTAAAGTATTTGTGCGCCAAATAAACAACGAATATAATGTTAAACGCTAGCGCTGTGTTATTTTAAAGCAACTTATTTATTTATTTTATTTTAAATTCACAGGCCTAATTGTAGCATTCGTTATCGAATGAAATGCATTATGAAATCACCCCAGTCCCAAAATTTAAGACAATCTACATATGGCTCATTCCACGGTGACGGGTGTGACATTTCAACTCACATTTTAAGGGTTAATTCTTAAACTGTAATACAAAATTCTTTAAAACGAGTATTTTGTAATAGGTTTCCGAGATATACACAATGCCTGGAATAAAAATTCCAAAAACAATTTAATCCGAACGAGTTATCTGAATTTTAGTCACTGTGACGGGTGTGACGAGTACGCAAACCAAATTAACTACTCATTACTTGCATCAGAGTTTTTCTGCTAATTATGTCTTCTGCTTATGGTTTTAAATAGTTCGTTGTATAGTTAAATAAACATTCTCAACATTTACGCCAAAGTTGCTTGCCGCTATTGGAAATTATAGATTATATGTTCCAAATTCAACTGTGACGGGTGTGACTTGACTTTGTGACGGGTGTGACAAGTTGAGCATGAATACATAAATACACATTATTAGACAACTAAGCTAACTTTATTTCTCAAAAAATCAGATTTTACGAACACATACCAGATTCCGCCAAGTCTTCTTCTCTATTGTATGTCTTAGTAATTGTAAAGTACCGTATTTTTAATAGTATGACCTGTAAAAACCGTTTCAGATACTTTTTTTGCCCTGACAAGCGAAGTAATGATATCTTTTTATCCGTGACAGCATAGCTTAAGTTTTCCCATCGCGCGAGCAACATATCTTTATGATTAGCTTTATCATCGCTGATCACAAACAGATATATGACACATTTCAGATTAGCTGATAAGTAACGGTAGCAGTCCCTGGCCGAATTTATTGAAGTTTGTCAAACTTTAAATTATGACGGGTGTGACATGTGACGGACGTGACCAACATAATCGGTTCTTTTTTTTCTAAAATAAAAGCATAAAAATACTTGAAAGCAATTCGCACATATTTCCCTGTGTCATAGCGTTACTTTCTTCAGCTTTTTTACACTGTCCAAGATGTGTTTTCCTTCAAAAAATAACTATTATGTGTATCTTGTGACGGGCGTGACATTAAAATATGCTTTGCCAATATATTATAAAATATTTAGTACTTGCCCGAAAAATTTGAAAATAACGCCGTTACAATGCTAACGAATTTGTCTCTCCACTGACGGTTTAAACAATGCGAAAAAGGTAATAGACTACGAAAATCAGTCTTGTAAATTTTGAAAAAAATTAACCTCTCATAACCTAAAGTAAAAAAATATCTGAGTTTGAGATAAATTTCGGAATTTTGGCTTTCAGTCTTGAAAGTTAGATTTATTTACTCTTACTTACTAGAAATAATACAGTCATATTCTTTAGTTTATTTTCGTTTCATTCGGTATCGATTACCGTGGAATGAGCCATATGTACATATGTATGTATGTAAAATATGTTAGAAAATAAAAAGCTCTTAAGTAGCTGTTAGACGTGGCAAGCGCAAGGCCTTTTTAAAATTCTGTCAAACTCAAGCAATTCCAAAAGTGATTGCAGGAACAGTTACACCTTGCATGTAAGCAGTTTTTATTTCCGAAGATCAAACTTTCCCACAAAAACTTTCGATTTTTACAGGTTCTCACCTCTAGAAATATGCTATTTACAGGTCTATTCTGCACGTTACCGAAGATTTTGTGACCGGAAAATTGTATTACCAAAAAATGTTACCACTTCTTGTTACCGCGATTCTAGGTACGTTGGTAATGCAGTGAAAATATTCAGCAGTTCAGCTATGGAGATTTGTGGAGATTCTTGTGTTGCATATTTCACGGGGCAATATTTTGTTACCAGCTCATGAGATGGTAACCAAATTTACCGGTTACAAGAGCGCACAGAATGCGAAAAAAGTTTAAAAATTGACAGACACTTTAGTTGCCGGTTACAACATTTATGTTACCAGCGCGGAATAGACCTGTTAGAGGAAAAACACAATTGTGAAAGTTTGAGCCCAATAGGAACATGCCTTCACGTACCGAAGGTGCCCTGAAGTTTGAAAAAATAAAATTAATATTGTAAAGAAAATACGATAATTTTCTGCTTAGCTAGCGACTGATTTTATCTAAAACTATAAGTAGCTATAGCTTTCATAGCTAATTTTATTGTCTTTAAAGTTAATTATAATACATTTTCTTTAAAAATATACGGTTTCGAAGATATTTAACATTCAGGGCCAGTTTCTCAATATCTTGGTAACACTAACCTCCGTCAAACATCGCTATCGAAACCATGCATATAACACTGTGCCGCTAACATCGGCAGCGATGTTTAACTGGGCATTAGTGTTAACCAGAATTGGTGGAAACGGCCCTTAATGGTACAGGCACCTTCCTGTGAAGTTTATGGAATATTGCGATTTAAGTATTTTGATTTTTGTTTAGTTTATTGTTCGGTTAATCTTGATAAGTTTGGATTTTTATTGATGATTTTTGTAAGTAAAAGTAGTGATTGAATTTTATTGATAAATAAAAGTCTTCAATAACTGTTATCTAAGACATAAAATATAAAAATTTAAAATATTTGTTATTTTTAGATTGTTAAGATAAAAATAGATTTTTTTTTGGATATATAATAATAATCCCAACGGTTGTACCCTCCTTTCTCGCCCATCCGCACGAGTGGCGCATTCCACATGACATACGGAACCAATATTTTCAATTTTTGCGCCGAGTCACTGTTCAACTAGAGAACTAAAGTCATCAGCTGGTTTTATGTCTTTATGTTAGTAAATCATTAATTGAGAGAGGATAGTATCGGGGTTTTAATGCTGAAAAGCGAATCTGATATATCAAACTTGCTGGAATGATAGTTATCCCTAAAGGGAACATTAAAGCTAACATCAGCCAGAAGAGACCAACTTGAAATTGAGCCTGTCATAAATATACACTGTACAGCACTTAGCTGGGTATTGAACCAAGAGATTGAGTCATAATTAAAAAGTAATTTCTCCGTTTTTCGAAGTTAGCCTCCGAAATCGAGATATGGGTCTACAAAGTTCGAAATAGGACCTTTGGTAAAAAAATATTTTTAATTATTGTATGTAAGCAACTAAAAAAGTAAAATTATGGGCGTGGTCCGCCTTTTGCTCTAATTTAAATGGTATATAACTTTTTTGTGCAAACTTATAGTGCTAAAGGGGGTCAAAAGTTAGATCTTCGAAAAATTAAATAAATTATATGTATTTAAAAAAATTTTTAACTAATTTTTAAGTGCTAATAGGTTTACGTTTTTAGTTGTTTACATGCAATAATTAAAAATATTTTTTTACCAAAGGTCCAATTTAGAACTTCAAAGGTCCATATCTCGATTTCGGAGGCTAACTTCGAAGAACGGAGAAATGACTTTTTCACTAATGACTCATCCTCTTGAAAAAATTGGCTTGGTCCACTACCCAGAAAAAAAGTTAATTTTGCGGTATAGTGTTATTGTTATTTAAGGAGTAATTCAATAAAAGTAAAAACAAAAAAAAAAACAAATTTTTAAATAGCGATTTTTATAACACCGTGCGACAGTCAATTTTACACACGAAAAAATCAATATATTCACAAAACTGGGGGCCAAATATAGTAAAACTGCGTTTTTAGTTTTTATCTCTGACGTTAGGATTTTTTTTAAAAGGACCTTGAGATTTCTAGACTATGATTGAATAAAAAAATTATTCAAAAGATTCGGTGCATTGTAGAATAACAATATGGGTATCAATTAAAAAGAAAAATTCTATAGAATAGGAGAAAAATTTAATTTTTGGGTGCACCAGGATAAAACAATAATTAAAAACATTTTTGCCCTCTATATAAATTCCTACCCCTAGGTGAAAGGCTGACAACGCCCTTGTATGCAAAACAATTAAAGTATTTAAACCGTACATCATACGGTCAGTTTGCTCTTTTAGAGCGCATACATGGTTCCATAATAATGATTTCTGCATTTAATCCTGGAAGGTTCGTCGTTTCGACGACGCGAGTTTCTATTTTACCGTTATCGCTGTTTTCCTTTGTTTGTATAGTGCTAATTTTTCGTACAGCGCTAGTCGGTGTTGTGCAGTTGATGTGTGCGGTTACTTAGATTCATGCGCTTCGTGTAAGTACTTATTTTTTAAATGTGCGTAGTCAAAACGACGAAGGATGAACTTTGTGTGTATGTTTTCAAAGTAATTTTCTTAAGTTTTTTTTATTTGTTTATATATTTTACTTGTGCAGCTATAATACACGATCAATGCAACCAAAAGTTATACCGACGAAGAAAAAAAAAATTGCGCAATTTGTCCCCCTTCTAAGCGACGCATAACAAATCATCCTTGCAAAATGCCAAAAAAGTCTCTGTGGAGAGCATAAAATAGAGCTTTGCGCCTCTTGCACAAAATGAGAACCGTCGCATCTGAAAATGTTTTCCTTTTTTAGTTCATAGTA